GACAAAAAATGTAAGCATATTATTGAGCATATTGTCCAGATGTCTCTTCAACACTGACAGTTTTGGGGTACTGATCACCTCTCTGGGAAGCCTGTTTCGGTGTTTGTATACCCTCTTGGTAAAGAAATTATTTCTAATATCCAGTCTGAACCTTCTTAGGCACAGCTTTGGACCATTCCCATGCTTCCTGTTACTGGGTGCCGGGGATAAGAGATCATCAACTCCTTTTCTGTTTCTTCTCAAGAAACTGTAGAGAGAAATTCTTTTTCCCCTCAGCCTCCTTCTCTCCAAGCTACACAAGCTCAAAATCCTTAGCTGCTTTTTATAGGACATTGCTGCCAGCCTTGCACCACCTTTGTTGCCCTCCTCTGGATGCATTTCAGGACCTTCACACCCTTTTTAACTTGTGGGGCCCAGATGTGCACACAGCACTCAGGTGAGGCGGCACCAATGCTGAATACAGTGCATTCACCACCACTTTTGTGTTGCTGTGTTTGATGCAGCCCAGGATGGGAATTGCCCTCTGGGCTGTCAGGGCTCAGTGCTCACTCTCACTGAGCCTGCTGTGGGCCCGCATCCCCAGATCCCTTTGCAGAGCTGCTCTCCAACCACTCTTCCCCCAGTCTGTACTTGAGCACAGTGTTACTCTGTCCTGGGTGCAGAATCCAGCATTTGGACCTGTTAGATTTCATCCCAATAATCATAGTCCAGTGCTACAATCAATCTAAATCCCTCTGCAAAGATCTCTTGTCCCTCAGCACCTCTCACTTTGTATCATTAACAAACATGCTAACAGTGCATTGAAGTCCTGCACCCAGATCATTGAAAAGTTCATTGAACAGAACTGGCCCTAGAACTGAACCACAAGGAAGGGCACTGGGGACTGCTATGGGCAGTAAAATCTAGCCCCACTTATTGTAGTAAAAACCCTTTTGAGTTCTGCCTTTCAGTCAATTCCACACTGTCAACCCACAGCCACAATTGTGAGGAAATCCCTAGACTTCTTTGACAAAGTATTCATTAACAACCACTTCATTGGATCTGATGGCTACCTTGATCTCATGATTTTAAAAATCACATCCAAGTTGTCAAAAAACCCAAAATCATTCTAAATAATGCAGTTAATTTTTCTGTCTGGCTCATAACTTGTGCATTTTGTAATCAGGAATCATTCATATCATGAGTAGAATTCTGTTTGTTTGTCACATATCACCTGCTCATCTTAAGAAATATACCAGAGAACTGTATCTTAACTGCCCAGAATTTCACTGATGCTTTACAACTCAGTTACGATGTTTCTCTTCTATTTTTATGAACTAATTTCTATTTCAAAGACATTCCTCCAACTGTTTAATTAGCAACCAGGTAGATTTAATTAATTAGCTAGTTAGATGTGAGCCATCAGGGGAAGCTGAAATGAAAAAAGACTCTGCTGCTTCTTCAGTTTCAAAAGGACAAAACTTGCTTTGCAAAAAATCTTTAAAATATCTTTTTACTTCCCATGGAAGTGTCTGTGTGCACTGATGAAGCTAAGGATCTATGAACTTTTCCATTATAAACTCATTTCTGAGTTCCTGTGCCTTCTGAGCACTGAAATAATCCACCTCAAGCTGAAACAGTCTACAAGGTCTCAGCTCAAAGGAATTTTTTTTCCTCAGAGAACAGAGCAGTTGAAAAAAAAATATATTCCTGTAGGTATGGCAGGGTGGGTTTCTCTTTTTATCATATCATTCTATGTGACTCAAAAGCAGTCGTATTGGTTTTTTTTCAAAGATGACATTTTTACCATCCAATAACATATGGGAACCTAGCATTTTGTGCTTCATTCTTTTGTTTAGTGTTTTTTTTTTTTTTTTAAAAAAAAAAGATAAAAGAAAAAGAAAATAAATTAAAAGAAAATGCAGTGGCTGTGCAGCTGGTGACACACCTTGAAAATCAATAATTCTTTGTGAACAGTAACTGTTCCTTTGCACATTTTATTGAAGAACCTTAGGGATCCATGAAGCACACACTGCAGCAATGGGTTACACTAAGGCAGTATTCCTGAGATAATATTTTTCAAGCACAGACCAAAACAAATGAATACTGTAGTCACACTAAACTGTTCATGACATAGTATGTTCTACAACTGATGCTGGGGGTTTTTTTGGAAACTGGTAAATAAAATGAAAATCTTTTTGTGAGGAAGCACTTGGGTAACGAAAAGGTGATCCACAAAGTGTAAATGATTCTGCTTAAAACAGTCTGAACTTCCCTCCACCAGTCTATGGTTCCAGTTCAAACAAGCCTGGAATTGTAAGTACTTTTGTTATTCTTTACAGCCATTCACTCTATAAGTACTCTTTCATGTCCCAGCAATTTTTATTCTGATTCAACAAAATTCTGTTGCATTTCAGTCCTCTCTACTCTATATTCTCTTCTGTATATTCATGACCTTCCTTACATCTGTTTTGCCCCATTTAATTCACCAAAAGAGGAAGAAAAGGTCACATAGCATTTGAGGAGTTAAACTCCAAGTATGGGTTTTCTGAAACAGTTTTGGTTTGTGTCCGTGTCAGTTATAGTCTTTCAAAAAATTATGTATTTTTTCAGTTATCTCATGTAAAGATATATCCTCTGCTTTACTACCTCATTTTCCCACAAAAGCAGACAGAAAGTTGGTTGGTATCTCAGAATGAGAAGAGGGAGCAGGGTGTATCAGCATACACCAGCAAATAGTTTTTAATAGTACTTCTGTCTTACTATTGTCTTGCATGTGCTCCAGGGCAGATCATTTGCTCACTACAAAGTTTGGGTTTTTCTCTGTAACAAAAGGACAATATTCTCATTCCTGATAAAGGACTTCAACAGCTCCAGGGTTATTCTGTGTTATTATCAAATATTGCTTTTTCTAATCAACTGGGTATATATTTAAAGTGTTTTTGAAGCATTTGCACATGATAAGGAAATGTTAAGAATGTGAAATATTTGGCTGCAGATGTGCTATTTTATTGTTGCTTTTTCTGGATACATTCCTGTTTCCAGTCCAGTTCCAGAGATGAAATGTAGCCTTACAAATGGTGTCATGGAAATGAGGAATCATCCAGTTCATACAATCAATCAGAGTTACTAGGTGTCACACAGTAAGAGAATTTCAGAATTCAGCGTTTGATCTCAGTAAGAATAGTATACATCCTTTTATTTCACCAAAGTCACACCAGGATTACACTTAGGAAAAGTAGCAATTGATGGTAGAATTTGAACACTCCACAGAAAAAAAAAAAAAAAAAAAAAAAAAAAAAAAAAAAAAAAAGAAGGTTAGATTGATAAAAGTGTTATTTAGATGTATGAGCTCTCATAAGAGTGGGAGCTTACATGCCTTCAACAGACAGATGTAGAAGAGCCTGCATGTATGGGGTTGCATACTTCAACCTTGCTCATATAAAGTCTTCTGTAAGGATCAAGAACATTTGCAATTCATCTGTAGAGGATTATAGAATATAGAAATCCTTTTATATCCTAAATTTAGGATATAAAAGATTCTTAAGCTCATTGAGCACTTCTGAGTCTACATGTAAACCATGTCCCTAAGTGACACATCTACATGTCTTTTAAGTACCTGAAGGAATGATGGTTCCACCATTTCCCTTGACAGTCTGTTCTAATGCCTGACAACATTTGTTGAAGAAATTCTTCATTTCAGGTAGTTTTATAGAGCAATAGGTCTCCTCTCAGCCTGCTTTTCTCCAGGCTAACCAACACCAATCCCTCATGAGACTTGTCCAGCTTCATTGTCCTCCTCTGGACATGCTCCAGTGCCTCAATGTTCTTGTGGTGAGGGGTCCAAAACTGAACACAGGATTTGAGATGCAGGCTCATCAGTGTCAAGTATAGGGCAATGATCACTTCCCTGGTCCTTCTGGCCACACTATTGCTGATACAATCCAGGATTCCCCTGGGCTCCTTGGCCACCTGGGCACACTCCTGGCTTATGTCCAGTTGGGTGCTCACCAGAAGCCCCAGTCTTTTCCCACCAGGGATCTTCCCAAGCACGCTGCCCCATGCCTGTAGCACTCCATGGGGTTGCTGTGACCCAAGTGCAAGATCTAGCATTTTGCCTTGTTGAACCTCAAACAATTGGCCTGAGCCCATGGATCCAGCCTTTCCAAATCCCTCAGTAAAGCCTTCCTCAGTAAAGCCTCTGGCAGATCAAGACTCCCGCCCACCTTGGTGTCACTTGCAAACTGACTGAGGATACATTTTATCCCCTCTTTGATCCTCCAGATCATTGATGAAGATATTAAACCAGACTGACCCCAATACTGAAACCTGCAGGACACCATTTGTGACCAGCTGCCACCTGAATTTGCCTTCATTCACCACCACTCTCTGGGCCCAACCATCCAGACAGATTTTAACCAATAAACAATGCATCCACCCAAGCCATGAGCAGCCACTTTCTGCAGGAGAATGCTGTGGGAAATGGTGCCAAGTCCTCAGTAAAGTCCTAGCAAACACCAGTAGACACCAGCCACAGCCTTTTCCTTATCCACATACTGGGTCGAGGATAGGTTGGCTAAGCAGGACTTGCCTTTCCCAAACTCCTGCTGGCTGATTCTGATCCCCCCTGTAGGTGCTGCATGATGGTAGCACTCAAGATGATCTACTCCATGACTGTCCCTAGCACCAAGGTCAGGCTGACAGGTCTGTAGTTCCCCAGATCTTTCTTCCAGCACTTCCTGTAGATAGGTGTCACACCTGCAAACCTCCAGCCCACTGGAACCTCCTTGGTGAGAAAAGATTTCTGGTAAATGATTGAAAGCAGCTTGGTAAGCATCTCCACCAATTCTGTCAGTACCCCTGGGTGGCTACCATCTCATCCCATAGACCTGTGTGTGTCTGAGAGCAACAGATCACCAGATCATTTCTGCCAGGTTATGGGGGCTTCATCCTGTTCCCTGTCCATGTCTCCCAGTGGAGGGACTGCATACCTAAAGAACAACTGGTCTTACTATTAAAGACTGGGGCAAAGAAATACTGCAGCCTTTTCCTCATCTTTTGTCACTGTTTCTCCCAGCATCCAATAAAGAGCGGAGTTTGTCCTTCTATTCCTGATGTATTTCTAGACACATTTCTATTGTCTTTTAAGTTTTGTTTGGACTTTAGTACTTTTAATATCCCCCTGCATAACCTCATGACATCCTTGTAGTCCTGCTGAGTTGCTCTTTGTTTCAAAGCTCATAAATTCTCCTTTATTTCCTGAGTTCCAGCCAAAGCTCTCAGTTCACCCAGGCTCATCTTCTTCCACAACACCCTATTTTTCAGCCTGCTCCTAGGCCTGTAAGATTTCTTTCTGGAAGAATGTCCAGCCTTTCTGGACTCCTCTTTACGCTCCAGTAATGCATCTCAAGGGACTCTCCCATCCAGTTTCCTAAACTGGCCAAAGTCTCCTCTCTGGCAGTCCAAGGTAACAATTTTGCTACTAATAATTTTTTGATTTCTGGGCCTAGGATGGCTTCCAAACATCACATCACTCACCTGTCCTTCTTTATTCAAAATCAATGGGTCCAGCAGGACACCTTCCCTAGCTGGGTCACCTACCACCTGCATCAGAAAGTTACACACACTCCAGGAATCTCCTAATCAGTTTCCTCTCTGTTGTGTTGCATTTCTGTCTGTTAAGTTGAAGTTTCTCCTGAGAACAAGGTTAGTACTTGTAAGAGTTTTTCCAGTTGCTGATAGAATATTTCACCTTCTTCTACATCCTGGTTGGGTTGTCTATAACACTCCCTCCATGACAATTTCCTTGTTGGCCTTTCCTCTGATTCTTACCCATACTCACCATCATACTGACACCATCATTAAGCTCTAGACAAGCAAAACTTTCCCTAACATACAGAATTATTCCTCCTCAGATATCCCTTCTGAAGAGCTCATAGCCATCCATTGGAGCATTCCAGTTGTGCAACTCAACCCATTGTGTTTCTGTGATGGCCACTGTGTCATAGTTCTGCTGTTGCACAGTGGTTTTTCTTTTTGTTGCCCGTGCATTGGTGTAGATACACTTCAGCTGAGTTATTGATTCCACTGCCTTTTTGGGGGAAGAAGCCCTAATTCCTGCATAACCTTTTGCTCTACACTAGCAAGTAGATTGCACCCAACCAGGTAACTCTCAGATCCATTTTTGCAGTAAATCAGCGACCTTTTCTATTATCTTTCAAGTGCATGTACTTAGTGTTACAATGCAAATCCACAATTTATCTTTACTCCCCACTCATCAGCTCAGAGCCTGAATTGTTAAATGCATGTTGTGATACAGTTGTGTGGCAGTTCACCCCACATTTGAAGCAGAGATGTCTTTGACAGCTGATACTAAAGAAAATATTAAAATATAATTTTTATTTAGCCAATGCTATTTGTTCTCCTGGAACTTGGACAGTTTTCTTATGAGGTTTTTAGACTACATACAGTAATTTTTAGCTGTCTTTAAGGGAAAAAAAACCTTAAAAGTTACTCCAACTAATTTTCTACACCAGTTCTTGAAGACATTTTGTACAACCTCAAAAAGTAGATTTTCCTGGTATTTGAGAACTGTGGTAAATGAGAAATTTACATGATAAAACTTTATAAATTCTGTCAAAACAACTCAATATCAGTAAGTGCACACACTCAGCCTGTTACAAATGCCTGCTGGAATTTGGCTTACTGTAAACCTCCATATAAAAAACAGTAATTTTCAAGACCCTTAGCTTGTATCCAAGGTAGAAAAAGATACAGCCCGTTAAGGCCCCTCGCTTTCATGCTTGTTTGGGTTTTTTTATTTTTTGCCCCACAAGAACATAACTTAAAACAAAACATTTTCTCTTCTCTTTTTTTCCCATTAAATGAAAAGCAGAGAAATTCACTTTCAGCTAAAATTGCATTTAATTCATAGTTGTGTGTCTAAAGTAACACAGCCAGGCAGGAAAAGGTCTTCACACAAGGTGCCCTTGGTACGCCGCCCAGACTACAATTGTGTGATTATACCCTTCCCACAAACATGAGCCCTAGGGAAGCAAGAACTGAACTTTTGGTTCATTACAAAATAAATAAATATAGCCACTGGAGTTTTACCATTGGAAATGAAGAGCTCATGCTGGATACAAAAGAAGATTGGAATTGGAAACTCATCACAGATAACAAAGTAGAATATGGTAATTTCCATGTTTCGTCTCTTGAGAGCTTGTCAAAATAAATATATTCAGAGACCACATGCAGATGCTCTCATCATTTTAGGCATTGTGCACAACCATATGAAAAAGGGATTAGCACAACAGAAACAAACAGGCCTTTTCTTAGTTCTTTCAGAGACATAGTGGAAGGAAGGAGAAGAATCTCCCTCCTAATTAGAAGGAAAACAAATGTAAAAAATTACTGGACTAGGAGAAAAAAAAAGAAAAAAAGAACCAAAAGCAGAAAGAACATTCAAACTTTTTACTGAACTTTTTAAAAGAAATCAAAACGAAGGGATTGGAGTAGGTATTCTCAGAGATAAATCCAATTTTTCTTCACTCAACAAAGAGCAATTCTTTTCTCTGTCCATGCCAGTATCAATGCTGACATCAGTTATATTTTCAAGGTATCATTTCTTTTTCATTATAAGATAAAGAACTTTCTTATTACTGTGTTTGACTGATGTTCATGTGTTATTTTGATGAAAGAGAATAACTTCTGAGGATATGTAAGGTATCTCCCCCATTTTGCAACCTTTAATAAACACAATATCTATGCTTCCTGTATCTTGACACTATCAGTAGCATGTATTGCCATACTGTAACCCAATTTAACTATTAAGAAACATCATACTTCACACTTTTGAAGTAGTTATTTTTGCTTTTTGTTCCTTTGCATATGAAAAGAATGTGTGAGAAATAGTAACAGGCCCAGACAATTACTTATTTCTGACCTTCAGGATGCCTAAGCAGAGAACGCCAGTGTCCTTTCCCCAGCTGTGAAAGAAAGGGTGACAGCAACTTCACCATCACTGGGTCTGTGATGTTGCTGTACATTCAGAGCCATCCTGCCTTTCCTGCAATGGAGCAATGAGAGTTCCCTAGGAACTACTGTAATTTCTACTTGTGAACTATGGTGGAGATGGTGAATTCCTTGGCTTTCCAAATTATGCAGCCTATATATGTTGCTTGTGTTGATGTGCGGTTCATGGCTAATGTCTCACAGAGTCAGAAAAAGGAATACCACCACGGGCTTTTGGTATACAGTATTTTAAAATAGCCTATAAGAGACAATATTTGTACAATGTTACATCTGAGATTTCCCAAATCACATGGTTACCCCCATACCTCTGGTCTGTGTTCACAGAACCATGAAATATTCTGATTTGGAAGGAGTCATCATGTCCAGCTCAGGGATCAAACCCAAAACTGATGTTATTAGAGCCATCCTCTGACCAACTGATCTAAGGCAGCTCTTCCACAAACCTTTTAGAAGTTTGCAGTCTTTTAAGAGTAGCAGAAAAGCATTCCTTAACACCTTCGCAAATCCAGCCCCCAACTCACATCAAATTCTATTTAACTGCAGGATCCTCTCTTTCTAAGGACTTTTTTGATAGCCATGCCATTTCTTCATAGCACCAGAGATGATCATAAAACAGGGTCCTGCTATTAGAGTATAAAACTTATTTTGTAACCTTAATTCAGGAAGGCCTATTGAAACCAATAGAATACCTCTAAAATTCATGCTTCACCATTTATTGTAATTTTGCGTATATGTAAGAGACAAATACAACTGGATTTCTTGTAGGTCATAGGTCACTAAATTTAAAACAGACACCCTTGCTTTTGCCCTTACCGAGTTCTGCTTGACTCAAACACACTTTCTGGAAAGATTCATCCTGGCGATGAGGCCATGGAGAGCCAAATATTTCCTTCAACAATATGTTTTATTGCTCAATATTAGTCCTATGAATATTCTTCGATATTTGTTTCCTTTGCATATTTGGCTTCAGCTTTCATAAACTGATTATGTCTTCTCCTATAGTACACCCTTTTGAAGCCAGTTTTTGGTCTTTCTGTTGGGTTGTTTTGTTTTTTTTTTCAAATATTTCTAAGCTATCAATAAACACTGTAAGTTGCCTCACTGGCATCTATTTTATAAATCAAACTGGTCGAAGTCTTCAGGCAGACCTTGCAAACTTTGCAGTCTTCCTTGAAAACCACTTTTTTTTTGGTTCTTTTTCCTCCACACACTTCAGTTTCCAACATCACCTTGAATATCTGCAAACCAGAAAAATGTGAAATACAGGCATTAATCCATACATCCAATTGTTTTAATTCTACTTATTGCTTAACCTGCTTTCACATGCAGAACCCCCTAGAGCCTTTTTTCTCATAATATTAAACTCCCCCAAGAAATTTTCAACAATGAGTTTCTCAAATTAAATACTTAAATCCATATCCACTACTTCAGTCTGGTTTTAACTGACACCATTTCAGCATGATCTGTGTTCATGAGTTCTAGATTCAATAAGTACTTATGAACATCTTGACTTGCATGATTTCTTATTTTTCAGGGTCTTCCCTTTGATCAGCTCCTGCATGGTGCAACAGTTTCCTTAACAACAGTGATTTCAGAGGAGCTGTCACTTAATGCAAAACGAAACTTAAATACTTCCAAACATCCTTGCACATATGTTAATGACACTTGGTTTATTATTAATGCAGACTCCAGTGGGAGAAACAGGATTAGTATGTAAACCCTAGTCTATTAAAATAATGGACCAATAGGAGGTAATCTCTCTTCAGTGACATGACTCTCTAAGCTTCCCAGGGTCCTGGATCCCATGGAAACTCGGGGCTAAACAAAAATATATGGAATGGGATAGGAAATGGTCCTGGGTTCTAATTAGTGGTTTTAATAAGCTTGTACTCACATTTTTGACTGTCTCTACCAAAAGTCACAAGTTTTCCAGTGTCCAAAGTTCTCCATTTCTCAAGAAAACCCAAACTAACTTGGAGCAAGCTCCTTTCCTTTGCTACAAGGAAAGCACACATGGACCCAGCCACAAATAGACCTCTCAGAGGTGCTGGTTAAAGCCACCAGCCTGTCTGGGTTTGCAGGACTGAGACCTGGGGCAGCCTGTGTTGAGAAGAGGTCAGATACATCAGCATACACACTCAAAAGGAACTCCTATTCAAGTTGTAGCTGAATGCCTTACCTCCCAAAAGAGGTCCAAGGAAACAAATTTACACAGACAGTGGAGCTGGTTCAAGGGCCATACAAGTAACTCTCAGTAAAGTTCTAACACAAAACTGGTGTTGTCTGGGGGAACCCTTCATTCTCAGGGGTTGAGTTCATAAGGCATCTTTCATCAGTGACAAAAGAGAGACATATTTAATCAGTGGTGTAGAGGAGAGAAAAATATCCTGAAAATCCCCTGCCATTTACCTTTTATAAGTACAGAAGTCCAGAGGCTAAAACTCAGTAGAACTAAACCAGAGTTGAAACATTTTATATAAATAGTCTGACTTGATGGCCCTTCTTCATAAAATGGAACAACACCACCATGAAACATTGGCTGTTTCCCCCGCTGCTCCCACTGCCAGTGTTTTTCGAGGTTCCAGGGTCATTGTGCCATGAAAACCCCTGACCCCCAGCCAAAATGCGCTCTCACACACTTACCTTTTATCTCTAAGTGTATTCATCTTATATGTATTCATCTTATGCTTTGACCAGACCTTACTAGATCAATAGAACTAAACTTTTCTTCACTGGGAGATATGTTTGCCTTTATCTATGGCTGAAAGTTTTTTTGAGTATTTCTAGGCTTATTTAGCTCTCCAGCTGAAAACAAAGTACCCTGTCAAAAAGAAGACAAACATTTGAAAGAAACCTGCACTTTCATCACAGGCTTTCTTCTATAAGCTTCAAATTTAGTGAGAGACTTGTGGCTCCATAACTGTATACAAACACAGAAAAACTTTTGACCTCTGTCCTTTCTCATAACTATATTAAAAGACAAAAAAGTTTTTACTTTTTTTTTCCCATGAGGAAGATTTCCTTCCCTTTGAAGATATTCCATCAAGATAAAATTTTCTTACATCAATATACTTTCACATAAATACACTTCATTTTGTTTTCATGTCAATCTAAAGGGAGTAAGAATGGAAAACTCCAAAGCTGATTTTAATAAATTAATAATAATGATGTTATCCTGTTTAAGCTTCTGCATGTGCTACTTGGTATAGAATAACCTCAAGGAAAGAGAGTCTTCAATGAAACCCTTCAAAAAGGAACATGGATCTGAATGAGAAACTTTATATTTACACCATGGCAGATGAAAGAGATGCTATCTGGAACATGAAAGCTTTAAAAACATTAAGTCCAAGGTAAAAAAAGAGAAGTACAAGCAAGTGTTCAGCAACTACATTGGAATTTGCAGTGAGATGTCAGTAGTCAGAGGAACTTCCAATCAGTCTGGCTGAGGACTGTGACACCGTGACACCTTCCATCTGCATTTGAAAATGGTTTTGGCCCTGAGATCCCAGGGTTCCTGTTCTGGTGAATTTTTCCTATGTGAAACCTGAGGGCAGAGATTTCTTATTTCTCAGGTCAGGGAATGAGGAAAAATGCACTTTATTAATCAAATCCCCTTTTCTTCCATCATCTGCTTCTGTGTAGAAAATTTAAGATGGTAGCATAAGTGAAAAACAAAGCTTGTTGGATCTAAGGGCTGGCAAAATGATGAATAAAGGAGAAGCTTCCTTGTTCTTAAAAATGAAGAAGGACATCTCAAAATATATGATGGCTGGGTAGCATTAGCTAAGATTCAAAGAAAACCTATCTATAAAGGCAAAATTACACCAAAATGACGTGATGGTCAGGCTCTAACCCAAATCTTGGACAGAGCATGTAGCATGCCTGAGATTGGATTATAATGTCATTTTCCTTGTACTCCTTCAAAGCATTATTTTTCTACAACAGACAATTACAGAATTCTCAGAACATGAGATATATGTGGTTGCTCGACTCAGTTAGAATATCTCCATGTTGAAATTAGAATTGAGAAAGACCTCTGATATTTTTCACTCCTTGACCTCTGTGACAAGGATAATTTTTTTGTTATCTTCTATGGGTCCTTTCTGCAGTGTGATGTTGTTTCAGCCTTAACAGGCCATTGGGTTGGAGACCATTTTCCACACCTCCAAGGAAAAAAGTTGAAATTAAACCTCACAAGGGCAATTCACTCAGTGAGGTTTTTTACTGCTCAACAGTGACACCTCTTGATATTCAGCAGAATATTACAGATAACCTTCAAAGATAATTTAATATAGTTTGCAGGACAGAGTACTGCAGGCAGTGCAGTTTCTCCCAGAGGAAAGGTTTTTTTTTTCTTGGTTTATTCAGGAAAAAAGCAGCTCAGCATCCAATCTATTGTTCCAATATGAGAGGCTCAGGAAATGAAAAAATTTATAGGGGAGCAGTTCAGCACAGTGAATCTATATCCCCAGAAAACACCTTTGTCATGAAATTAGAAAGTTTTAAAAATGTCACAAAAGGAAAAATATTGAAAAAACATTTTATCAGCTTTGAGCTTTTCTTCTGAAATGTTAGTATTTTTAATATGATTGTTGAAATCAATATCTACTCGGAATTTTTTTTTTATTCATTCAAACCCTACTTTATGTCAAACTTTTATTATCAAACTTTTCATGTGCATAGCTTCTACAAAAACCTATACTCAAAAGTCCGCAAAGAATCTGGCTATTTGCATATTCAGTTAAATAAAATTTGTAATAGTAACAATTGAATTTATTAGCTCTTTAAAGTACTACTATAATGTAAATGAAAACTTAGATTTAAAAAAGCCAAAGAACTGAAAAACTGAACTAAAAATAAACCAAGTCTAACAAGCATCCTTCCAGCCGGATATGGAGTATGGCCTACCTTTCTGGTAGATGCTTTAGCTGGCTCCGAGACTGTATTTGGGATCTAGCCATGAAAAGTTTAAATAATCATTCTTTCTAGGCCAAATACTGAGTGTTAGAACAAGAAATTTTGGCTCACATTTATCTCTATAACAGATGTTGATTGGCCAGCTGAAATTTGTTCATGCATTTTACGAGTAAGTGCACCCTTCTGCCAATTCAACAGAAGCATTTGTGAGAAATCCAAACACATCCATTTCTGTTGGAGCTCTAGCTTTATTCTGTTCATGGTACAAGTTCATTAGTGAAATAGCAGTAGATCAGCTGAAAATAGCTTGGCATTTAGGTATCCTCCACTGGCACCAATTAGCATTATGGAATAATAAGATCTATGAAGAAAATCTCTAGGGACTATAGCATAGATAGTAAATGTGTGAACAAAGAGTTAATTCCTAGCTAATAAGTTCTCAAGACACTGAAATGACTTAATTGTGAAAGGGTTTAATAATTAAGTGCCAATAATAGACAGATTGTAAATTGGAAGGTTTATTTCAGAACCTGCAAAAACTGCACAGAGAGAGGGTAACAGTAAAAGAGAAAGTGCTAACCTAGAGGGAAGAAAATTTGAAAGCTGTAGGGAAGATTTAGGGGCAGCAATGGTTTTAAGGTCACACTCTTTATGTCTGTCATTATTTTTTAAGTGGAGCTTTAAACCATGCCTACCAGTGAGATGCTGATACTTCATCATTTGTAAGAAATCAGTTACTCCATTGTTTGTAAGAAATCAGCTGTTACTTTTGTCTAGTAAGAGAGTAATGCTTGGTGCTAAAAATCTGGGATGCAAGCTATGCCTGCATACCATAACAAAACCCTGCTGTCCAAGCTTTGCAATATGTCTTAGAAGCAAACAAATGTGAAAAAGCACATCAGACATGGAGAAAACAAAACCCCAGAGGTGAGACACATAACTGAAAATGCTCCTTATTTCTGGGCAGTGAAACTTGCCATTTTAATGATGACAGGGTTGTCTGTTGAAATATCTTGAGAAAAACTATTTGAAAAATATTTTGGCCTCAACCTCTAGATATATACACATGGGGACTTTGAAATAGAGCCAGGAATATTTGAATGCAGATTTTTGGAATCACATTATAGCACCCTGCCTATTTTCAGGGTCTTAAGGAATTAGGAGAATAAAAGTATTTCATTTTATTGAGTTCTTTAGATTTGAGTTCTTTATCTGGAAGTGGATATATTCCATTTCTCTGCAACCAAGATGGGAACACTTTCTTATAATGAACCCTGTAAATGAGTAAAGACTTTTTTTTTTGAGGACTCTTCTCTCTGCTCAGTCCATATAGCTATATTTAATTTTTTGAGCAGATTTCATCCTGTGGACACACACACACATGAAAATTTGCATCCGCATAGGAGAGACTCATACACAAAGGAAAGAAAACTAAATTGCCCCAGCAAAAATAACACAGCATAGTACTTGGAATCAAACTGGCACAAAAGCAAAGACTAAATAATCCAATACCAGTGGAAACTCAAGGCATCTAAAAGCCAAGAATTCACCTGCAGTAAGAGGTATTTTCTTTCCTTCTTTGGCATCTGTTGACCTATACATCTGATAACAAGAGATTATTCTAATTTCTTTTAGATTAGCCAGAAAAGCTCAAATTCTTCGCTATAAGACAATTTACCAACACTCTATTAATCAAAATATCTCTTTAAACTTTTATGTAAACACAGGGTTATACCAGCCTAGTTTTCTAATGGATATATTTTCCTGAACTTTAGACAGCTAAATGAAAATTAAACATCTAGTCTAAGCTAGACATTTGGACTAGAGTTATACCCAAAAGAGGGACAGACAGCCAGGCAGAGAGAAGGGCACCTCTAGAGTGTCTTTGCCTGAGACCCCTTTTTGCTATGATCCCCTGGATAAGGCAGCTCTGGATAGCTCTGCCATCTCCCTCTTTCAGCCATCGCTGAAGTGTAAATAACTGAACTACATCTCCCTCTCATTTAGTTGAGTCCAACTATGTAAGATGAATTTCAAACCTATTAGTTACACCTCCCCCATTACTTTTTGGCACCTTTGTTCTTTGCTAAAAGCACAAATATGTCACTATATAAATAGCACAAAAGGAAGAGCCAAATAAGGACTTCTCTCCCTTGCTCCTTCTAAACAAATATGTGAGAGGCAAGCGAGATAAAATGAAGCGTGGAGTTTCTTGCTTTGTGTGGTTTCTACTGCTCTGGATTTACCATGAGAATTGAGCCACTCATATTCTCCCTTCAATGCAAACAATAATCTTTTAAATAAAATACAGTAAAGTCATTCCCTCATTTGGAAACTTGAAAAGTGCAGTTTTGTCCTAGGTATGTATAATTATAAAAAGCATGGTTTGAAAAAGAAAAAAAGAAAAAGAAAAAATTAAAGAAATTCACCTTTTTCTTTATTTTAGACAGACCTTGAAGTTATATAAAAACAACTGACCTGTTTCAGATGAACAAGATATAAAATAATAACATTAATACATTTTCCTGAAATCTTTAAAGTTTTATAAATTGCCCATGGAGGTTTGTGAACCAAGGTCACTCTGCGTCTTTTCATTCTTTTAATTATCTAGTTCCAGCCTGATACACTAGCCTTGCTAATTGGACACAGAGAAATCCCTTATCAGTGAAGTTAGAAAAGGACCTATGAAAAAAGTGTGGGAGACTGCTGTAAATCAAAGAAGAGGAACAGAACAGAAGGAAAGCCAATCAACTGTACCCCTCCGAGCTGTGAGTTTATAGGAAAAGCTGAGCCTCGTTGGATGGAGGAAAAAGTGGCCAGCAGGTAAGTTACACGTCATTGACCTCTCCCTGATAGATACTGTTGTGAGAGGAGCGAAATGCAGATTCACACCTGCCCTTAATTTCTTGGGGAAGGGAAGATTTTAAGCAGTAGCTTGTGCTTTGGGGTGTGTAGCTGCTAAATCCAATGTTATTCATTTCTATTCCCAAATCCCCAAAAAAATCATCCATACCCTCTCAAAGCCCAGTGAGGGAATTAATTGTTCTGTCTGGTTTTTACCATTTTCATGCACATTTGACAGGTGTGATGCACAACAGAAAGTCTGTAGCTCTTTCAATCTCTATTTGGTAGAATAAGAAATGTTCATATCTGTACTATACTTGACTTATTCATCCTTTTCCTTTCCCAGCACTTCTCCACATTCTTCAAGGTTGTCAGTGATTTTTCTTCTCTAAATCAAGGCTTGTCTTTTGAACCACAGCTCCATTCCATCTCAGATCTTCAATTTTGAATTTGGATGATCACTTTAAGCAATTCACTTTCCCTTCTTCTTCCTCATATTTTAGTATGAAGCCTGTTTGTTCATCACAGCTCACATTTGCCCTGTGTCTTAATGAGCCTCTGCAGTGCATAGGCCAGTATCTAAGACTTGTTCCTCTGTCTCTGCATTTTTTTCCCAGTGCTCAAATGTCAGCTGTCCACAGAGATATCCAAAATTATATCTGATTTTCGCAAGATGTATTTAGTCCACTGTCATAAGGTGTTTTCACCTAAAAAACCCACATGGCCAGCACCCTAATATATTGTCCTTAACGTAGAAGGAGTGTATACACAAACTATTTCAGAAATACTGAACTCTCAATTCATCAGAAGGTATTATCAAAGCAAAGAAATCCCATTATAACATCATGCGGAGTTCAAAAGAATCATTCAGGCTTCCAGAGAAAACACAGGGGTATTGTAGGAGAAAAAACAACAAGTTATTATCTTGTCAATAGGAAAAAAATAATTACTGTTCCATATGTAGGAAATTTAATAGATTCTGTTTGGTTTTGAGACATGGAACTGAAAATTCTCAGCATTTTCACTGCTAAAATTTTCCATGGCATTTCCATGACATACAAAAGGCATAACATTTCCTTGGCATGTTGGCAAAGTGTTGATCAAAGTGCAAAGTGCTGATCAAAATGCAAAGCACAGATCAAACAGCATTCATCTGCAATGGCTTTAACATGTTTTAGTTAACATTCCTCTGTATCATACTATTGTGTGACTTCATTGTACACTCTGGAGTTTGCATCCAATGAACGCCTAGCTTCTCTCACATCCAATGTTTTGAAGAAAAAAAGCCTAAACTTCTGCACACTTTGAGCAACGAGGAAGATCACGTATAGATTGTCCATTTTGGCACATAGCTTTCCTTAGATGTTTAAATGCTACTGTCTGTAAAAGTATGAAAGAGTTATCATTATTGCTGACTGCAAGATCTCTTTGTCCAGAAGCATCCCTTCATGTCAAATACTTCTCATGGTAGTAAAATATATTTAAAGGATATCAGGTAGCAAAAAGCAACAAGTGCAACTCTGGATACTGGCACCCAAATGTCTCTACCCTTTGAACACAGTGTTGGGTCCAGCCAGCAAGCACTGTACACACAAGTAAAGGAACAAATCCAACAGGCAGGTTTTGTGCAGCCATCCATTTTGTAGAGTAAGAGGGTGGCTTTGTACAAAAAGCTCTGTGCAACTGGCCTCTGTGACAGAGAATAATCTCAGCACTTTTAACATCATTTTATGGTAATCCAAATAGCAGCTGAAAAGAGTGGAGCTGACTCTATCCACTTTACTCAGGATTTGGTGCATCATTTAAAAAATTTACATTTTAAAATGTACATTTTAAAGATTTAAAATCCTTCCACCTCATAAATTCAATTGTACCCTAATTAAATTATTGAAACATGCAAAAACATGAGACACATAGCATTATGAGAGACAATCAGAAACCTTTCTGCCTTTTTTTTCCCCAGAAGCATAGTACTGTTTCACTTTTTTTCAATCTTAGATGCTTTCTTTTAAGAAGTTAATAAATTGAATACTTTTCTGCAAAACTTTTCCAGAAGGTTATTCTTCCTTATGTATTTCATTCACATTGCTTCATAGACTCAATATCTCTTATTTTGTTCTATTTTCCTTCAGCACAGAGGAAACAAACAACATTAGACAGAATATTTTAAGGTGTTCAACTCCAGGACAAAACAATCATAACAAATTACATTTCAGAGAAAGCACTATCATGTCGCTCTCTTACCTCTTGTCTCCATTAGAAAGGGCCTCCCAATGAATTGGAAATTCCTTCTAGCAGAGATGCATCTCCTAACAGTAAAAGTGATATTTTGCCCATGCAGTTTATGCTGACTACTTGCATAAAAGTTGAAGCTATGAATAGATTTGCTTATGTTGCTGGTTGTGTGCGTATAAAAATGTCACTAAACATCATATCCCCTAACTGGTATAGCCATAATGACAAAAATGCTAACATAGATGTGGCTTTCGTTTCCACTCTAGTGATAGTAAAATGGCCCCTGATTTGAGCTGCTGACAAAGTCCTGAGAGATTTAAAAGTTGCAACAGGTCCATAGCAAATAGGTATCACAAGAAAGATTAATGTCATTAGAAGTGGATGTTTAGAGCGGTGTATCGTGCATGTCTCAGTCAGCACAAGCTCTTTTTGTCATGTAAAAAGCACATTTACACTTGTTCAGACTTGTGTTAGTCTTGTCACTAGTTTAGACTAGGAACAGTCCTACACGTAAGGCTAATAAAGGCTTTTCTTTTAGACTGGTAAAAATTACAAGTAAAGTAGACCTCTAATATGCATTAGATGCAGAGAATAGCCTCAAATTAGTAATCAACAGTGTACATGCCTGAAAGTAACAGAATGGACTTCTACCTGTGTGGTTTAGATTTCTATTAATCTTTATTCCATAGGAAATGAGGTATTTTGGTAGATAATCTAGCAGTTACCTAGATAATGTACAGCTTTTCTTTACCATTACCTTCCAGAAAAATTTTTTAAAGCTGAAATTTAAGATTTACTGCCTCATTCATCCTCTATTCATTCTGTTTTGGTTATTGTCAAAGATTTGGGGAAACCATAATAGTGAAAGGAAAAACCAGCAAACATACAGAAAAAAATCGAGATTATTATTAAACTATGATTGATGGAAAGTAGCAATGATAAAAAGACCATTCTAATCAAAACAAAAATATTATGTGGATGTTTATCTGAATGTTTTCACTTCTCTTTTTTTAAGGAATAAGGTTTAGATACTCTTTTATCTCCCCAACACTGTTTGGCCTAAACTTTAAAACATTAAAACTATCTCTTTTATGGTATTTCAGTGCTTCTAATCCTTGTAAAGAGGGAGAAAATACTTGGCAGGTTCATTTTTGGTTTTGGGCAAAGGTTAGAACAGTCTTAAAAACAGAAATTTAGACTCAATGGCTGAACAGTGACAATATCTTTCCGGCTGAGCCTTTCAGTTCCCAAGAGGAGATAATATCCCCCCTCTATTACAGTAGCCAAGAAGAATGAACAGAGGTTCCAGTAATAAATATAGACAGAGAGACGTCTGGTTTCTTTTCTGCCACAGAAGCTATCAAGAAAATTTAATCAGGCTTTTCTTTTCCAGTCAATCCTCAGATTATTTTAATACTTTCACATTCAGTATTGGAATTCTGTCATCCTAGTCAGTGTTTTTTCCTGATGGCTGCATGCAGTCATTGCTAAACAATTTGTTAAAGTGTTATATTTTTAGAGAGGTCTTTTTGCTTACTATCTAATGGTAATGCCATTTTGCAGGGGTCATAAGAAAAGAACATATCCATGATGAGAAAAAAAATCAAGTGAATGGTAAGACATTAGCATGCTCCTATCTCGTTGCCTTTGCCTCCCTACCTTCGTTTTCTTCCCTACACTAAATTATGTAGTGCTTCTGCAGAAAGTGTGTACAAGAGCTGAATGTAAATCAGAAAAGGATGCAATTGTGGAACTAAAAGGCAGTCACTTCTCTCTAAAGCCACGTTGCTATATGGCAGGCTAGTCTGCTCACCATATAAAATCATGGGATTATTGTAGTACCTCAGGTATCTGTGCATGACAACACTAAATTTAAAATGCATCCTGTCCTTCATGTGAAATAACTGACACAGACCTGAGTGAATGGGAAGGAAAAAGGGGTGACTTTACTGCTAGAGAAATAAAGGTATCCTCTACATTAAAATGAATATAATAAAAATCGACTCTTAGGTTTTCTGTGCAGCTCAAACACAGTGCAATGTAACAGTCTGCTCCAGTCTGGCAGGGGGCTGAAGAGACAAATCCCCCTTATTTCTGAATTGGAACATAAATAGCAACAAAAGAGAAATACACTACATAAAATGTTGACAGCCTTGACTGATCATTCACTTTAGCTTATAGCTTCCATCTCATGAACTTCTTTCATTGCTCCCTTTTTTATCACCTGCTTGTTAAAAACAAAACAAAAATCATTTGTTGAACTAATTGCCAGGTTTTAAATACAGCAATAGCTTTTAATGGCAATCTTTACTATCACTTCAATGGTGCACAATACTTGCATTACAGTATTTTACACAAAATAAAAAAAATGTTCAAAGGAAGACAGAAAATCCTTTAGGCTACTCTGTACTACTCATCATGACAACATTAGGGCTATTTTTAAATTTATGTCAAAATAGCCAGTACATGTGTAATTTACATCTTAAACAATCCTTTCATGACCATTTGAATCTATAGGTATTTATGGACCCTGGAAGGAACATTTTTAAAATGAATTGTGTTTAGCTGATTCATATTTTCACATTGCACTTTCACTAGAATGGGGCTCCCACAGAGACATGGGCAGAGAAGAGTGTAATGTAAGTGTAAAGCACAGACTCAGCTAATAATTTTAAGGTTGTTTCACCTCTCTGGTAAAAAAAAGTCCAGCACAAACTCACACATGTAACACTCAAGTTACTACTGAGTCAATCACCGGTCTTTCAGAAAATTCATGAGTATTAATGATTTCACTGCATTCCACTGCTTTGATTAGATGGCTATTGTAAGAAAAGCTCTTGGCTTCCTTCTCACATTACTTGTAAACAAAAACTGTTTCCTCCAGTTCATGGGAGAGTTGTGAAATGGAGTGAGCATCTTGTGCTGGCTTTTGGTGAAAGCTAACCTCTTCTGCTTGTTCTTAGCTATTTCTTACTCTGTTTGCAGGCATGTGGAACTCTCTTTTCAACTCCAGTTTCTAACAGACCTGAGATTTGTAAGAGCAAATTATAGTCAAGCATTCTCAATGCAAATCTTGTAACTTTAGAAGACCAAAGAGGCCTCCATCATCCCAGTGGTCTGAGCATGTCCTGTAAGATAGAAGGTAATGGCTGTGGTTAAGGAAGGAAAATTTGTCAGTAGGGTGCACTGACAATGAACAACTCTTGAAGGGTTGTTCGCAGCTACAGTTTTCTTTAGGAGCTAAAGCATCACATTCCCACATGCAAACCCAGACACATTCCAGTGGGTTTAGGATGTCAGTTCATATTTACAGACATCACATTTAGCATCTAAGTTAAGAAGGCCAAGTCTGGATTTATCCTTCTAACATCACTATGTTGCCTGATGTCTGAATTAGACCATTATCATCTCTGAAATTGAAAGAAAAGACAGTTATCTCCAAGGTCAGTGCCACCCACTGATGTTTCTCACCCTCTTTTTGTATTTACAATGTTTTTGAGGTCCAGTGTCCATGGACTGTATTGCTAAAATTAACAGAACTGCATAGATTTGATCCAGTAACAGAGTAAATGAATAGTCTAAAATGAAAGATTTTAATCCATGTGTTTTGAAGACATGGCATTGTTTATGAAACTGCCAGTGGTTGGCAACAAATGTTCTCAAGGTTTTTTGTTGCAGAAAAGCAATTGTTCTCCTAGTCACGCTCCCTCCAGGGATGTGTGTGTATGAGACTGATCCAGTGATTCCTTATACAACACAGCAGGAGCAGTGATCCATATAACCAATTATTCCTGTACCTTTACTGACATGGTGAATCATGTAAGTTTTTTCTTCAGATGATAATTTCATTGCTCTTTTAGTTTGTGCATTTATTTCTTTATTGTTTCCCTTAGCTGAACTTTTTGTGGCATGAATTCATTAATGTTAGGTAATGAGGTGGAGATTCAGGCTTATAAAGAGGAATTAACACAGCCTAAATTGCAACTATATTATAGTACCACCATCTGTTTTTCTCTTACAGAAAATTTACACATTCTCATTTCAATTAAGTGTGATAGTCAAAATAATTGTAAAATCATTCTCTCTCAGACATTACAATAAATAAAGATAGCATTACTTCTCAGGGACTTAATAACACTTAGTGTAAAACATGTACTTCTATTCAAGTTTTATAACCTTATCTTTATCACCTTTTTGATAAATATCACAGTATAAATAAAACAAATGGAACAGTTTCATTTTGTCAGCTAGGATTAAGGTAATATATTTAAGACACAAATGGCCTACATAGTGTTGATTTAAGCAGGACTGAAAACTTTCCTCTTTTTTTCACTTGTCAGTCTTCAAGGCACTGCAAATGTTTTACTCAAGCTTAGACTGAAAACTCAAAACTTCATCTATGTTTAGGAGTCAAAACTGAGGTTTAGGGTCCAAGAAGAATTTTCTTTTCAACTACTTCAAAATGATTCCATTTGAGTTTAGTTGGTTACATTTGCTCCAGTTTGCCCATATTTTGAATGACATGAAAATTGGGATGCCAGACATCTTGCAAAACTGCCTAAAGGAAATGTGATCTGATCTTATGATCCCTTAAATGGTTTTCTGTTTATGCACTGTTTCAATTCGACAGTTGGTTTGGTTTTGGGTTTTTTTTTTTATTTTCAAGAAATCATCTAAAAAAAAATCCAAAAACCAATTCACTAACAAGCCTAACTTGAGGCTCAGGACTTCACTATCCATCCTTGATAGATAGCTGTTTATTTTCTACCTTACCTTTACAAATAAAAATAATAAACTTACACTGCTTCTAGCTTCACTTTTAATATGCTGCATTTCGTGTTTCTTCCTCGCAATTCTCAGAAGCATTTCCAAGCTCTTTGCTTATTTGGTTTTATAGTTTCCTTGGGCACAGCTTGCTTGTCTGGTCAAAAGTGTGTTTCCAGCATGCCTGCTGATTTCTGCAGCCACTGGATTAGGCTCATATATTATCTGTGTATTTCTTTTTTTGCCAGCAATTCTAGAAGATTTACAGGGCTGCTTTAAAAGATGTAAGACTCTTTATTATGGCAATCTATTCCCATACCATACAGTCCTTTTGTTATAGTGGAGATGCAAATGAAGAAAATATCAATAACTTAAAACTAAAATTGTTTGGTTTAATCTTTTAAACCAGACTGTATTTTTAATATTATGTACTTTGGAGTCTTCAAAAAAAGGAAAAAAGGAAGACTATAATAAGCATCACTCAAGTCTTGGTCTTTTAATCAGAATACAACCAGCAGTGAGAGGATCAATATTTTATTTATGTTTCTGTGATCATGTTCAGACACCCTAATGTGGTTGCTGAAATATCAGCAAAACAAATTGAATCCTGACCAGTCATGCCCCAAAATATGAGTGGCATCTGTGAGGACTTAGAGAAGCACAATTAGCTGTCTCAAACACTGTCAAAGAAGGAAAATCCCACAAGGTAAGCCACCACAACAGGAACTAAAGCACAGATGGCAAACAAAACCAGACCTAAAAGGAGGTGAAGGTTTGGAATTAGCACACTGGATAAAATTCCACTGGGTAGACTGTGAGAAAAGTGCAGACAGCAACAATGTGAACACACCAGGCCTGGTGAGGCTGACCTAGGCAGCCTATCTGGACAAAAATTCCCACCATGGCAAACTGTGAGAAAGGGAACAGCCAGTTACACACACACACCATCCCAAGTTGTGGCAACAGCATATAGATCTTGTGGATTCACAGTGCTTGGATTCAATAAAAGTGGTATATCCAGGACACTCAGGGGAACCCACCACAAAACAGACCAGAGTGAAGAACCAGCAGAACACCGCAGGAATCCACATGGTGATATCTTTGTTTAATCTCTCTCTCTTCTGTCCTATTTATATCTCTCTACCTCACATTTACTGCTAAATAAAATCTGTTCTATTGACTTTGGTTTCATTTTCACCTTTGTCTGGGCAGAGGCATTTTTTAATAATCAGATCCTAACAGTATCCATGAGGCACTGTCCCTGGGGAATATTTTTTCCTTGCCTCAGATGTATCAGAGCTTTATTTCTTCACACTGACAGACAATTCTAAGACTTCTAAATGAAAAACCTGGTAACTGTGAATGGCCTTGCAAATACTCATCAGCTATATTTTGGAGATCTGAACAATAAATAAGACTTCATTCTACCTCAAACTAACATAACTTCAAATCTCAGTCTCTTTTTAGCTATCAGAAAAACTTTTATTAATTATAATGAGTTTCAGATCAAAATTTGAAGACTTTCAGAAGATATATTTGTTGAGTTTGACAGTAGGTGAGTGGTATACAGCAAGACTCACTCGAGTATTTCTTATACTTGCTCCAGATTATTTTTCCACAGCATTTCCAACCCTTAGGATGACTAATAATCCACAGACCATCCTCACCTTTCCACATTATTGTGCATTTCTTTATGAAATATAAAAAATATAAAATCAGTAATCTATCAGTAAGACCAGCAATGATAAACACTGGCTACAGTTTTCCTGATTCACGCACTCTTTAGCAGGTTATCCCTCTAGAACTAATTAGAATATTCTGTTTATATTGAACTGATGCAATGAGCCTGCATCTTTAGAAGATTTCAACTCGAAATTCAGTGTCTATGGAATAAAAGACCCAAATCTCCCTTTCTTCAAGACACTGTTTGTAAATAAATAAGTGAACAAAAAGCTCTTAATCTTACTTTGAAGACTTTACATCAGGTTCTAGAGAGAAACCAGGCAGTTTTCCAAAAGAATTTTTTACAGTCAGCGCACTGAAAGCAGTCTATCAGTAAGAAAAGGGGAAAAGCAAAGTCAGCTGAACTAAAACTGCTTTAGACAAAAAAGGGAGCAAAGACAACAATGATGATTAAGAAAAAACTGTGGATATTGGTCACGATATTCTACTGCTAAAAAGAGCTAATCAGTCACTAAGAATTAACTCAGTTAAAACAAAAAAAAAATAAAAACAAAAAACCACCAAAAAAACAGAAACAAAACCCATACAACAACAAACAAAACTAAATAAAAGGGAAAAAAATTAAATCCCACTGAAAGTAAATGTTAGAAACTATGTGCACCTGGGCTGCTGGAAGAGTAGTCAATAAGAATAGTTAATATATACTGTTCAGGAGTTTTACAAATTAAAGCATTTCTGGGGACTACACAACAGAGGAGAATGGCAGGCAATAGTTTTACCAAGAGGCTGGGGAAAAACAGACTAACCTAGGATCAATGAAAGCTTTCTGAGACACAAGGTATGAAGGTGTCCTGTGAAATTACACTACTCCAGAGTCCTTGAGGAGCCTTTTTTGAAGACAATCCACTTTTGAAATATATACTTTTTCTGGTAAATCACACTTCACTTAGATGAAGTTTCTCAAGACTTGTCCTCCCAAAGAAAAAAGTTTACCGGCTTCACATCATAGATTGCAGAGGTCAGTGGGCCTATTACCAAAGAATCCACACCTCTCCCTTTGAGGGAAAGCTGTAGACAAGCTCCTTTTGTTGGGGCAATGAAAGGAGTCGCCCCCAGCACAACTTGCAGACCATGCAAATTTTATGCACCTCATGCAAATTATATGTACCCCATTGGGGTTTGCTTTTGTTCCTCCCCTGAACTCTCAGTTGACCAGTCCTGATGCTCCTATGTAAATCCCTGTTTCCCTTTGACTGTCTGGAGTCCTTTGTCCCTGACCTTTTTGTGGTAGTTGGAGTTTTTCTCATCCCTGGACTGAGAATAAAGGTTTCTTGCACAATACCACGAGGTTCCCATTTCTCCTTCCAAGTCACTCAGATGTTGCCTGAAGAGCTGCAACCACTCACCAGCTCTTTTCAGGGCTCAGACTGAGACCACTCTCAGCAGGGCAGGGAGTGCCTGTGTGCCTGAGTGTCCTTCCAAGGATACTTCTCTGGGAAGGCCACGGCACCCAGACAACCTAGGCTGTGACAAAAAATGGACAGAATCACAGAATTGATAAAAGTCCAGATTTTTACTTTTTATAAAGGGAGACTGCCTCTGAGTCTTCATTCTCCTTGTTGTATGCTCTTTCTCCTTAGAACCACTGCTGTTACATGAAGTCACAGACAAATTAAGGCTAGCAGATGAAAAAATAAAGGAAATCAAATGCAGAATCTGTTTTTTTAGCAGGACAGCTTCTATTCTTACTGAAATCAGGCAGAATTTTAGCTTATTTTACTAAAATCAACTCAGATATGTACTAAAAAATCTCTATACATTTACACGTGCTCTATCTTCTGACATCTCTGTAAGTAAGAAAGGAAAATATGTTGACAATCACCATTGCTTTACTTTAGCCTGTCAGCTGTGTTTTTCTCCCTCATAAAAGTCAAGGAATTACGTACACAAGGATTGTGGTCTGAGATGCCACAGGGCGGACCTGGCCGAAGAGGAGCCCTGCCTCTGGAGGTACACAGATTCAGTGATCTAACAGGATATTTCACAGTCAGGTTTTGTGACTGAGCTCATGCTAGAAGTAACTCCTATCTATGTGCAAATGTCCCCATTCCTCGTTAAACAACCCATGAACATTCACTGGGCTTCTGTGGAAGGAAGAAAATCTCACACAACCATTCAAAAAGGACTGGGAGAGTTTGTCCTGCTGATATATGGGGACGTTGTAATTCTCACCTAGTTTCCCTTTCTTCTTAGCTGTTGATCTTAATTTAATTTATTGCACAGAAATTAGTTTATAGGTTACATTTTATTTTCTGATCCTCTCTAATCTTTGTGAAAGGATGTAGGAGATGGAGGGGAAGTATCCATACATTTAATTAATACATCTGTTACACACAAAAAAGTTATGAAATATCAAAAGCAGTCACCATTAGCCTAGCCTCAGGTTTATTTGATTGATATAATCAGTAAAAGTTTTACTGGTTTCAGTGCATTAGGGGCAATGCCAAGTCATTTTAAAAGTTGTTTTCCCTTTTTAAAATGTGCTAAAATTTAAATTATATCATAAACATGATATAAATTATAACATAAACTTTACCTTTCCCAGAGAGATGCTAGTCTTTATCACCTCCTTATATATTATATGGAAGGATATTTTATAAAATCATAGCACTGCCTCTGCAAGAAATCTGTATGAGCAGAGAGAGACACTTTCCTTATTTACATCTATAAATTGTAAAAAGTAAAGTTAAATTCAAACACTCGACCACTTGAAACCATGTTGTCTTAACCATCCATGGTTTTCTGTTGCAAACTCAGTATCCCAAAACTCTGTAGTAGAGAAGCAGTCTTATTACCCATAGTTGTTTATTTTCTTCTGTGTCATTTCTGCTATTGTGGCAGTTCAAACAGGAAAATAATATCTTCTGATCATTAAATAACAGGAACTAGAGAAATGCAAAGCTATAAAATATGATACAGCCTTCTTTTACCAGAAGTATTATTTTCTGATGTTATTCTTTAATCAGTCATCTTTAACTAAAAAAAATAAGCCTGTAGAAAAGAGGGTGATATTCTTTCTGAATCCAAAGTTTTCATAACTTCATGTTAAGTTTAATCTTACTTAACAGCTCTGTGGATGGCCAGTAGGATGGCAGCAACTGAATTCTGTTATTAGAACAGATGGTAAATATCAAAAAATATACAATATCCACATTTATTTGAAACCCATTTCCAATAAAAATAAAGCTCCTGCTACTAGAAAATAAATGCATGCC